TATATGTGTGTGTGTGTGTGTGTGTGTGTGTGTGTGTGTGTGTGTGTGTGTGTGTTTGTGTGTGTGTGTGTGTGTGTGTTTGTGTTAAAAAAGTTATACTGAGCTAGGGCTTAAGATTTTTCCATCCTTAGGAATTTTTCAGCATGCAATTATTTGGTATCATGTGTGGGAACTTATCTCACATTGACAAACTTCTCAAACAATCATGTGATCACCAACGAGCATAATACTTGTAACAATAAAGCCTCTTTCTCGAATAAATAATCTCTAAGGCAAAAACATTTCTAACCCGCTTTTCTAATAAATAATCTCTAAGCCAAGGACATTCCCAGACATACATAAGTTTGATGGTAAAAGTCACATCAAATCAAATCTCTACTCCTTACTTTGTAAACATGCATATTCATGATGGTAAAAAACACATTAGATCATATAATTCCTTCCCTTATAAGCATACATAATTTTATTAGTAAAAGCATAATTAGTCTATTTTTAGAAGATTATGTACCATGCACATTTACCATAAGGTCAAATTTTCCTATTTACAATGACAAATTATCCTCCTCTTAGACAACTTTAGTTTTACATATCTATCCCGAGCAACCTCATCTCCATCATCAAATTGTCATTGGTACTACAACCTCAAAATAATATTCACATCAATTTTTTAGAGAAAGATATATTTATACTTCCAAGGCAAAATAATCGTGGATTGGGGACAACTTCTTACAACCTTAAGAATGTTGTTTGTTAACGTCCTGGACGCGTTAATAATCGGGCAATCAATTTGTTACATTCAAATTATTATTTTATTGAAAAGAAGACTTAAGGAGAATGTGTAGGTGAATGACCAGCAGTCGTTGTCTAACAACACCAATAATTATTGTGGCCTACTGCAGTTTTTGTAGCCACCAAATATAGTATTTGTACCCTTAAAATTGTTGTTGTAGCCACCAGTATGTCTTTTACAGTTAATTACAAATTTTATTGTAAAATGTTCTTAATTTAATTTTGGAAGCATATAGTCCCAATGTCTATTGATATTTGTGCCTGATAAAGAAGATTTTTTGAGGATGTATCAATAAGCATTTTGATTATGATGTAAAATAATGTGAAATAAAAGAGATCAAGCCAAAGCATGAAGGATAAGATATGAGTATAAAGGAAGAGAGGCATGCCAAGGGCAAGTGCTACAAGATTATTCATAATAAAAAGTAGTATCAATATACATTTTAATTTTAAGAAGGCTCACTAAACTCTCTTAATAAAAAAGAACCATCAACATTTACATTTTATTGTCTTATAATGGAGTAGTATAATTATATTGTATTAATTAAATCTATTCTAATCCACTTTCTGTTGCATAGTTGTTGTACTTTTATTCAATCTTTCCTTACAATTTCATAATATAGTAAAACACATTAAATTCTTGCAAGTTAGAGATTGTTTGAACACTTCATAAATGAATGACTTGATTTCAATCTTTGGTTTCTTTTATCTTCCCATGAAATTGCTTGATTAAAAATCATATTAAAATATTTGGCCTTCGCAATATCATGTCTTGTAAGGAAAAGAAGCATAGCTGAATTTTCATGTTTTCATCTGGTATAGATTTTGGCCAAGTATTGTTCAAAGAAGAGTATTTTTAACTGTTATCTTCTAGATAACTGAAATTCTTCTTAATTGTTGCATGGTTAATAAAGATGACGAGTAATTAATTTTAAGTCAATCATATATATATATATATATATATATTACTTAAAAGGAAATCAATATTTGAGGCCCAAATACCGATTTTTCATGCGCTAGGCCCCACGATGAGAGCCCGCGTCATATGCTTAAATATTCGAGAACCCAATGTCACTAGGGATCGAACCCGTGACCTGAGGGGACTTACCGTGAACCCTGCCAACCAACAGGCCACGACTAGCTTCGTTTGTGTGTGCGCGTGCATGTTAGTCTTGGCTTGTTGGTGGCGGGGTCACTTTAAGTCCGCTCAAGTTAAAGGTTCGATCCTACTGTAGCGTAGAAGCTCTGAAATTTTAGGCACATGGCGTAGGCTTTCATCATGGAGCCAAAAAGCGCATGAAAAATTGATATTTGGGCCTCTGTCAAATAATGATTTCTTTTTTTTAATATATATATATATATATATATTGAATTTGAAGATGAAAAGACAATTCTTTCTGCATCAGGCTTATTTTATATCAAATTTTGAAGGTTACCGATGAGGATGGCCTTATAATGTTAAAAGAAATTCTAACTTCTAATTCATAAAGCTGTTATTTTAACATTTGGAGATTAACAAAAACATGATAGATAAATACTGGCCCTTGTGATCAACGTTAAAAAATGCTTGGCTTATTAAATGGGAAGATGAAAATGAAAGGATCACTAACCCCTCAAAGTCAGAGCTATTTAATTGTCAAGTGAACTGCTAAAAATTATTAGATGACTAACTAGACTTTTGTAAAGCCTAGATGCTATGTATTTTGCTCATGCTCTTCTGGCCCCTCTCTTTGTGTCGTTATATGTATTTCAATGCAATTATGTTAATGATCATGACACTTTCCACAAAAATACAAAACCGGCTTTAAAATCTTGTTTAAAATATCTTGAAACTCCGCTAAACTAAGCAATAAGCTCATTCTAAAAACAATCAATATATATCTATACATCAAAAATGTGTTCGCGTGAATCACAAAATATCTCACGGATGAAAGAAGTGACGTGGCCCGACGGGACCTACCAAGAAGTAATTGACTTACAACCCACGCGTGTCGGAAGGACGGTACATCTCGGGAAGATAAAAGGCATACCGCAACCCGCAAATAGCTGCTTGGACGAACAGTCTCCCGGCCTAATAATCACCCACCTTAGTAACCCCTCGGCCTAATAGTCTCTAGGGACTAAAATGCCCAGCTGTAACTACATGTTGTAAGAGTGCAATATGCAAGTGTATAGTAACGCATTCCTACAGATAAGGAGTTCATCTTTCTCTCTTCCTAAAGCACTCTTTCTTCAAGGAGGCCTCCCCAACACGATCATATTGTGAGGACCACACCACGCCCTTATGTATATGAATATGATGTAATACATATCGCCATTATTATGTATATAAAAATGATGTGATTAGGCCGTGGGTCTAGATAATGTCCAAACAACGCACTTAATAATATTTTCTCTCCGGTGGGACCTGCCTCGACAGCTACGCTTAGCTCCCGATATCTATCTTCCCATGCGACTTTTACATCACCCCATCTGCGCATTCATCTCAGCCGTCCATATTCCAACCCGCTTGCCGACTATTTCAGCACAACTAATCCCGTCCTATTTTATACCGCGAAAACATTTTAGAAGGCACGTTCCGGACACGTGTGGTTCTCCAATTCGTTGAAATCCTCTCCCTCTCCCAGAAGGATATCCCCTCCTATCCCATTCATTCCATCTGGGCGGCACAGCCTCCTACCTTTCCTCGATCGTTTATTTCAGCCGCCGCAGAGAGAATCGAGATAGAAAAATGGGAGGCAAAGGTGTGGAAGGCGGGGGAGCCTACTGGGAACTAGAAGCGCGGAAGTGCGACGGCTGCAAGGGGCCGCCGGCGGCGGCGGTGCTCTTCTGCAGGGCTGATGCCGCTTTCCTCTGCGCCACTTGCGATGCGCGCGTGCACGGCGCGAATAAGCTCGCTTCCCGGCACGAGCGCGTCTGGCTCTGCGAGGTGTGCGAGCAAGCGCCGGCCGCAGTCACCTGCAAGGCTGACGCCGCCGCACTCTGCTCCGCTTGCGACGCTGATATCCACACAGCCAATCCCCTCGCAAGCCGCCACCAACGAGTGCCTGTGGTTCCCTTGTTTGAATCCCCTGTCCCCGACCCGAGCCTCCTTTATGATGCCGATGATGGCGAAGAAGACAGCGCTGGTGCTGCATCTTGGATACTGCCTGCTCCGGCGAAGGATACGGTTCAAGGAAAAATGAAATCGGCGGACTGCTTCACCGATGTCCATCCGTACCTGGATCTGGAGTACGGTTCGTCGGTGGAAGCCGGGATTTATCAGTCTGACAGCGTCGTGCCGGCGGGAGCGGGAGCTTCGTCAGGTCTCATCATGCTCGATTTCGGTAAATCCAAGCCGAAGACGCATAGCTACACCATCAGTCACAGTGTAATCTCCCCCTGTCCAAGCAGATCTGGATTGATTTCATCCGATACCTTTTTTTGTTTTTGTTTTAGGCCAAGTTTTCTTACGGTGAGATCTAAAATTGTTTGCAGATGTCGTCATCAGAGGTGGCAGTGGTGCCGGACGGTGGCGGTAGCGCCATGGCGGACGTGTCTAATTGTGCCGGCGGCAGCGGCGGCGTGGGGGAGAGATCGACGATGATGGATCGGGAGGCGAGGGTGATGAGATACAGGGAAAAGAGAAAGAACAGGCGGTTTGAGAAGACCATACGCTACGCGTCGAGGAAGGCGTACGCAGAGACGAGACCGAGAATAAAGGGGAGGTTTGCTAAGAGGACGGAAGTAGAGTTGGAGATCGATCAGATCTACTCGTCGGCGGGCGCCCCCACCGCGCGGTTTCTA